TCTTCACTTCCGACGCTAGGAGACCATTAGCTGCATCTTAGATGGCTGCTTGAAAGCTTTTGAGACCCTAGTTGCTACTCACCAATGTAGGATGTAGAGCAACGCTTTTATGTAGTTTGTTGTGCCAGTTGAGTCTGGTGTCCCCCAGTACTATGGTCCTGAGGTAGTAGATCTATTGGATCTCTCTCCCATAGTATTGGGATGTCTGTGAGGTATTACTCTGTGTCTGTCTTCTATTGTTTCTGTAAGGATTGCAGGAATTTTGTATCACTGGTATCTCTGTAAGATTAACCCCAGTACTTTTTGATGTCACAGAGGGAGCCCTATTTCTTCTCCTTTCCTTTCAGAAGGAAAGGAGCTCTGGTGGTGCAGTGGTTAAGGCATTTGGCTGCTAACTAAAAGGTCAATGGTTCAAACTCACCAGCGGTTCCACAGAAGAAAGATAAGGCAGTCTGCTTCTGTAAAGATTTACAGCCTTGGAAACCCAGTGGAGGTCACTATGAGTCGGAGTTGACTTGATAGCAGTTGAGTTTGGTTTTGAGGTTTTAGAGTCACAGAAGTGGGAGGACAAGGATAGTGGGTGGAGATTCTAGTGAGGGAACAGAAGACATCATTCTATAAAGGAGCCCTGGCTGTGCGACTTGAGTTACGTGAGTATTGAGGACCAACTAGGAATTTATTTCTAAGGTGTCTAGCCATCTCTGTGATGTCTGTCTGGGGGAAATTTGCTGTCAGTAGACATTCTGAATGTATGCTTATTTTAAGAACACTGGAGTTACTGGCTTTGTATAAAGCAGTTTTTAAAGGGAAGGGCCTTTTTCCAAAGCAGATCAGAGCCCTAGCTGGTCACATGTGCAGTAGATTTTTATATACTGTGTTTTCTTAAAGTGTAAGTGGAGAATTCCTGACTAATGGTTTGAAGGGAAAGGATAAAGTGTCATAAAATGCAAGTTTTGTTTTTCTACTTTCTTTTTTTGCTAGCTCCACATATATTTGCATATGCTTCATTTCTCTTTTAGAAGTAAGATACTTTCTGGATGTTTTTAAAAGATTAATATTTACTTTTTCTTTCTCTTCTTTTATTATTATTTCAGATCAATAAATGGACTAGGGAAAATTTTAGAAACACAAAGATCAAGGTACTTTTAAAAGTATTACTGGTATTAACACTAAATAATAATTATTAGTAATAAATATTACATAATTGATAAATATGCTTGCTTCTGAATATAAGGAAGATGCAGGTATTTTTTTTTAAAAAAGGGACCCCAAAATGGTGTTCTTAATATTTTTTATAAATTAGTTTGGTATGGTTAGTTACCACATTTGCTTCTCCTTATCACTCACTGAGATTATGGAGCCAGAATAACATTGTAAAATTGTGCTTTTGCTAATTGAGGAATAAAGCCCCTTTTGCTAAAGAAGACTTCTGACCACACAAAAAGCAAGTAGTACAGAAACCTGAAACTGTGTACTGTTAGGAATCTTACCTTAATTTGAGGTATTTACATGCTTCCTTAATATTTAAAAAATCTTTTTACTGTTCAATAGATGCCAAAAAATCTGCCATATACAAACGTATGGCACCTTTACCTTTAAGCTTTTGATATGTACCTTTATTAAATTACAGTTTGCACTTTGAGTAGATTCTCCCTGCTTGTTGTGTTCACTATAAAACAGATGTGCTCTTAAGTTGTTTTCCACAGAACATTTTTGTGTAGAAGTATTTTGGGAAGTGCATCTTTGGGGCAGGTGGCCCAGCAGCTGACAGGCCTGTAGCCCTAGCTCAGTGGCTTACAGCTGGCCATCTGGTCCACCCAGCTTCTTAGGCAAAGAGTCCTCCCCCATGAGCAGCAGAGGCCTTATTGCAGTGGCTTCCTGTGAGCACAGAGATTAGAAGTGCTGACAGACTGTGTGCATATGAACAGCTGGGGAATTCATCTGGTATGCAGTTTCGGAAACCTCTCATCTGTTGGCCAAGCTGCCTGAAGAATGGCCTAGTGTAGGTCCTCTGGAAGTGGAAGTGAGCCCCAAATGTGCCCTGCATCTCACATGCCATTGGAGACAGACTCTGGAACTCACTCCCACCACAAGCCCGTCCTCAGCAGCTCTCTCTTCCCATTGCGTTTTACTGTTCCTTTCTCCTTGATTTCCTCCTCTTTACAAAATGGTGCACAAACAACTACATAATAATCATCTTGAATAGTTTATTACGCAGTGATTTTGCTGTTTTTCTAACAGTTCTACCATTTGTTGTATTTCTATGAGAGAAAGTTCACATGCAGTGATTAATTTTTGTTACTTAAAGTGGATGAATTAACATAACCCTTTTCCTTTTGTTTCTCTGGTATCTGGTGTTTGAGAGTCGAGGGGTTCAGAAATAGTGCTTCCTCCCTGTGAGGACTGAGGTTGGATTAGGATCCTTTTCTGTGAAGATCAGACATCCCTGATAGAATTCTTAATATTGAGTCAAGACTCTTCTAGGAAAGAAAGATTTCCCTAGATTTCTTGAAGCATAGCAGTTGGAGCTTCTCAGTTTAGCAGCTAGATATTTGGCTCTTAACAGTATAGTTGGAAGTCACTCTGATGATGTTTTGTTTTATTTTAATCCCTTTAGCAGTGATAATCTGTGATTATAAAGGTCCTGACAATAGTGAAAAGTGCTGTAAGCGTGTGCAGTAAAATGCTCGCCTTGAGTATCATAAGACTTGAGTAAGAATGGCATGTAGCATTGTCTTATTGGTAAGACTTAGCTTGATAACAGGGATATAAAATACATAGGGGCTTATAAGGACAGGAAGATAGAGGAGGGGCTATGCAACTCTTCTTGATAGAGTCAGGAACTTTGTCTGAGGTGATCTTGACCTGAGTTCTGAAGAATGGATGGGAGTTTTCCAGGACCAGAGCGGTGATGCCTTTCCAGGCATAAGGAACAGTATGTGTAAAGATTGTGTATTCCAGAAGTCTGAATTTTTTAAATGCCTAGGGGGAGAAAACCAGTTGCCATCAAGTTGATTCTGACTCATGCCTACCTGATGTGTGTCAGAGTAGAGCTGTGCTTCATAGGGTTTTCAGTGGCTGGTTTTGTTGAAAGTAAATTGCCAGGCCTTTTCTTCCAAGGCTATTCTGAGTGGGCTCGAACTACCAGCCTTTCGGTTAGCAGCTGGGCATGTGAACCATTTGTACCACCCAGGGTCTCCAGAGTGGCTAGAACACAGGGTGTTATGTAGCAGAGAGAAAAAGAGGTAGAGAAGGACCACAGAGGGCTTCTAGTGCCTAGGTACATGGTTTGGACACCCTGCTCTGGGCAGCAAGGAATCAGTGAAGGATTTTCAAAGTAGCATGACTCGGGAGATGGACTGGATACTGTGTCATTGCCTGAGCTGGAAAAAACGGAAGGAGTAGCAGGTATGGGTTGGGGGTGTGTGTTGGAGTGGTGTATGCATACACACGCAGGTTTGTAAATGGTGATTCGCTGATTTCTGGAAACAATGAGTTTGAGGTGCCACTGAGCAAGACATTCATGAATTTGATTCTAGAGTCCAGAAAGGAGCTATTGAATGACATCTACAACTCCTAAATCAGGGACTGGCTGGCAGCCATGCTCTTTAGACTCTCTGGGAGAGAGACTACTAGAGATAGCGCCCCCTAGGTGCAGCTGTGCTCCCCGCCCTCCTGGGGCAGCCCCTGGCTTCTGATGGCTCCTTAAAGCTGTCTGTAGGTACAGAGAATGTTGAAAGTACACTTCACAGGAGAAAATAAGTACTCCTGGCATCAGTTGTTCCAGAACTTAGGGGGAAAGGTCACCTTTTGAAGTTTTTCTCTTTCCCCTTTTGGATTTACATTGTTCTCTCATTCAATTTTTAAATAATGGTGGGGTCTTTTTATTGTCTTTTCATATTTTGGAAAAGATCTGATGTTTTTACCTCTGAAGGAGGACAGTTGAATACATATGATGCTTGGGAAACTAGTTCTTTAGTCAGAGGCCTTGGAGGAGAGGAGGAATTTATTTTCCACAGCTGTGCCAGATTTGGGGAAAGTTCTTTAAAACTTTCATCTGGAAACAGGTTTTTTCCTCTTTCCTTCTCCATTCAGAATCCGGTGTGAGCCAGTGAGAGACTTCAACATGTTCTTACTCTTCGTGGAGAGATATTTGTAGTGAGACCTGCTGTTTGTTGGTCTCTGTTGGAAGAATTGAAAGGTGGTCTGTAAAGCAGAATTAGCTCACAATCTATGTCATGCATTATCCAGGACTGTAGCCAGGGAGATTGTCATTATTTAGAAGCTGGTGTTTCTAAACTGAGCTTTGGTCTTCACATAGTAGGCATGTGTCAGCTTTATTAAGCTGAGAGGTGTTTTCTGAGCTAAAGATGATACATGTGGGGACCTGCCACTATAAATGTTTGCTCAACTGTGAGGATGAAGAGAAGAACGATGTTGGATATTAGTGCTCTGGTCTTGGTGTCACTTGATACTCAAAAAATGTCTTCATGGAACATTTACTTCTTTGCTTGATCATTTTCCTATTCTGGGCATCTAGAATGTGGAGAATTTGAAACGTTGCTGCAGTGTGTTAAGATGGATCTTTACTACTTTTAATAGAAGCAGGATCTGTCTGTCTTGCACCCTGGGATAAGCATTCATAATTGGGTATGTTGCAACAAGCATGAGTGTGTGGCAGATGCTGGGAGCGAACATGGCAGCCACAGCTGGTCAGTGCTAAGTTAAAGGAGAAGTTTTATCGCCTGTGTTTGTGCATTTTCAGAGAATCAAATTTGACAAGTTTTGTTTCCTTGTGAGAAAATGTAATAAACATTTGGCTCTTGGAGTTTCTATTTGAAATGTAAAATTCTGTTGTCATTTTCCTGAAACTTTTTCATTTTAGCTATGATTATAGAGAAATTACTGACTCTGCTATTTTGTAACCTTATGTTAAAATTGGAATTCAGTCAGCAGCTTTTATAAATTTACTTAAACCAGATATGCAAATTGTCATGTGCAATTCTTGTCTGATTTGAATCCATGCCATTTGTTAAGGTTATTTATCACTCAGTAGCCCTAACAAAAATCATGTTTATTCAGATAGGGCACCAACTGGGAAGTGTCTATCTTTGTACAACTCCATTCTAAATGAAAGAAAATCAAACCAGGTAGTGTTCCTGTGCTGCTGTGGTATTTTCATTTCTTCCATTTCCCTTATTTCATCTTCTGAGTGACTAGTTGCTGCTTAGAGCAGTTCAGTTCTTTAAAGTGGATTTTTTTTCCTTTTCCTTTTTTTTTTTTTTTTGCTGCACAGATGTATTTAAAAAGCTCATAAATTTAGTTTCAGGATTGAAAAGATGATTGAAAGTTTGAAAAAAAAACAAAACTGTGGGTTGTTGAAGTAATAGCCAAGTAATTTTCTGCCTGGATCTCATGCCATTTGCTCACTTTTACAAGTTTTATGTATAAAGTGTATAAAACTTTGTGTATATTGAGCATATTTGTTCCTTGTCTATAGTTTTTATATGTTTCCAAAAATAGAATTATATGCTGATTAAACTTTGTATCTCCATTTTAAGATTCTTGAAGGGTTTTGTTGTTGTCAAATTGTATACATTGCCCAGAGTTTCACACTGTTCTCATTGGTTTTCTTCTTTTCAGAGTTGACCTTTCTAATGTGTTAGATCTTCATGCCTTTGACAGTCTCTCGGGAATAAGGTGTGTTTTCTACATTTTGGTCATTTTATTGTAATACATCTTTCGCACCACAGGTTCAGGACTGATTTACACAGTTGCCACTTGATTTAAGCTTCTTGTCATTCAGCGTATAGGATTGGTTTTAAAAGTTTTGTTGGTCGTTTGGAAATCAAAATGGATTTGCCTATACAAAGTAGAGTCTAAACTGTTGTTAGTTTAGAAACTAATCATTAACATTTCTGTGCCAGCCACTGTGTACCACGCTTTTTCTGTGGAAAAGGTATGACGTGCACAGGACGTTTTATTTTGAGGCGTTCATGCTGACGTCTCATTTCCTCCAAGTGGTGGACTTGTTTCCTGTTTCTCAGGGGCGTTTTTTCGATGAGACAAGGAAGGAAAGTCAGTTGCTCTTAGCAGAGCATGTTGCTCACATGATGACAAGACTATGGAAAAGTCGACCCCTCTCTGGATGTTTTAAATTGTGAGCAGTCTTGCTTAAGGGCACGAGTAATGGATGCTTCTGTCTGAGACTCTTAATGTGTATTCAGATATATAGATATATTTCTAATTTTGCCTTTAAAAGGATCTCTGGTGGTATAGTAGTTAAGGCATTTGGCTATAACCAAAAAAGTTGGTAGTTTGAACCTGCCAGCTGCTCCATGGAAGAAAGATGAGGCAGTCTGCTTCCATAAAGATTTACAGCCTTCGGAACCCAATTTGGGTAGCTATGAGTTGAAATCAACTCGACGACAGTGAGTTTGGGTTTTTTGGTATGCCTTTAAAAACTAATGTTTTTTTCAGCTAGGTTTTTTTTTTCTCTTAGTGTTTAATATTGTTTACATTTTTTAAATAGTACGTAAAGGAACCTATGAAGATAGGAAATCATGGTGTTTTATTGGGTCTCTTTTACCTTTTAAATTTGGGAATTTAAATTCACATTTAGTTTGTAAAAAGAAAGCAAACCATTGTTTGGGATTGCTCAGTGTGCAGACACACAGGGAAGGCAGGGCAGTCACTTCGTCCTCAGTTTAGAAACTGAGACCCTGAGAGGGCACTGAAATGTCAGACATTTTCAGTCAGTTCTGTTTCTCCGTTAAGTACTGTGTGTTCCACCTTTCCGATCTGGTCTTGGACCAGCACCTTCTTAGAGTAAATGAACACCAAGTTAAATACAAAGATAATCTAGGGTACCTGGGCCAAGTTAGCCTTTGTCTTTCTGTTTCCAGTCAGTAGGATAGCAGGGAATTTGAAAAGTTAACTTGCCTGTTTGTTGCTTTATGGGAAAATTGTTCATTCTGACTGGGCACTTTCATACAGAGTTGGGAACTCTCTCTGAGCACCTAGAGTCCTTTGCCCTGACACATCAGCTTTGGGTATCTGTATTGTGAGCTTGATGATGATTGAATGTGCGGTAGTATACTCATTCAGTATCACACCAAGTGCTTTCATACAAAGATTGTATTTCTAATTTCAAATGAAAGACTTTTCCCCCATTGAACAAATATGGCCCTAACTATAAACTTGGCAGACCATTTCAAAACAGTCCTTTTCTACCTTCTTAGTTCTGACATTACTGGGGAGATTAGGTTGGCTGAGACTCTTACCTCATTCTAGGAACTGCTAGGAACATCAGAGCCTTTGTCTCTTATCACCCATTTCAGAAATGACCTTAAGTCCAGCTCTTCTGCCCTGCTGTTTTGTTTCTTCTTTTTACTCCAGGACTCTGATGCATTTAAGTATATAATACTTTTCCAACAGTTAACCCTTCTCACTTTTCTTCATTTTCCACATCTGGCTTAGAACCATATTCTTATATTCTTTGATGGGCAGTTCTGATGGTTATAGATCTTGTGGCACATTTAAATATGTTTACAGGGGAAATTTTTTAAAAAACACTACTGGATGTTTGCTTTTCTTAAATCAGTTTATTGGATCTAAGAGTGCAGACAGTTGTTGATAGTCAATATGTGGAGCACTAAGATATTTCTTGGTTAAAGTATTTTGTTTTCCCCATTCATAAAAGTTTTCCTTTTTTAACTGAAAAAAAGAGAATTCTGTGTATGGTATGAAGTTTATTTCCTACTTTGATATGCGGCATATCCTCAAGTTTTTGTTTTTCCTTTCCTTTGTCTACTTTTGCTAGACTCTACTGTCATAAAGATACTTTCTTCAAAGTACCCAACTCTTACATGACTGTATTTTTAGTTGGGAAAGGTAGGAAAAGATGTCAGTCCCATCTTACTGTGAGAAAAATTAAAGTTATTCTTTTTGATAAATCATAATGGGTTATGCACAGAACACTACACTAGCCTAGATGTATAAACACTGGTGTTGGTGTGGACACAGAAATGTAGATGACAAAATATGCAGAGTTGAGATTCTGATTCATGAATTCAGGTTCCAGTAGTGCACGCGTGGCCCCTAGATTAGACTGCACATTCCTTCATTTGTATGGCAGAAGACAAATCAAGTCTCATAGTGCATACTTGGCCCCTATTTGTATGGTAGAGGACAAATTGGGGGCAGAGACTTCCTGTGAACCACACTTAAATGTTCAGTGTGAAATTTTTGACATTTTGCTTTCCTGTGAAGCTTGTGATTTTTCTAAAGCAGTCTTACTCCTCATTTGCTTAAGAGCAGTTGTAACACGTCCATGACTTCTCAGGAAGCCATGGACCAAACCAAACCAGACTCAATGCCATTGAGTCGATTCTGACTCACAGCGACCCCTCCTTGGGTTTCTGAGGTGGTATCTCTACGGAAGTAGATTGCCCGATCGTCCTTCTGTGGAATAGCTGGTGGGTTTGAACCAGCCAGCCTCTGGTTAGCAGTCACATGCCTTAGGCACTATGCCACCAGAGCTCCCACTTAATGGGATAAGTAGGACAAAATACATCTACTCAACTTGGGCTTTATTTAGCTAACCTTAAATAAAAATTTAAATTCCTCAGTCCATTAAACCACATTTCAAGTGTTCACACACCATATATAGCTAGCGGGCATTGTATTTCACAGTTCCTCAGGAAGTGGCTGTTTAACTTGATTTCACTGCCAGGGATGAAGCCTTTGTATAACTTTGCTCTGTGCCTTGAGCCCAGCAGGAGGCTCTTCCTGCCTGGCCCCACCCCCAGCACCAGCTGGTAGGATTTAATCTGACATTCTCCCCACCAAGACACCTCCGCCTCCAACAGTTCCTGTAAGCCCCTGCTCTTTCCTAAACTTGTTGCTACTAATTTACCCCTCCCACTCTCCAAAGCAAA